GTAGCCCCGCCCCCTCACATTGATTGACAGCTTTCCGTGCAGACGTCGGAAATTCAAATGCAAAAGGAATTGCGATTCCATTTGAGTTTTGGCAGGTTACATGCGCGACGCAGCGAGAGTGAAAAAGCAGACGTGGTAATTAATATTGCTATTTAAATATGACAGGCTCGTAACTCCTAAGACATGGGAAATACAGCTGCAAATGGACTTTGCTTTTTCATTTGAAATTTGGCAGTCACTGTGCGTTCGCGAAAGCAAAAATGCAAACGCTAATGCAGGATTTGCAATTGCATTTGGATTATGTCACAATTTATGCGTCCACATATTGAAAATACAATTTGCTATTCTATTTGAAAATTGTCCGGAATATCGTTCCATAGGTATTACTGATGATTGACGTAGAAGAAAACGTGAAAATATCCTGAGTTAACTACAAACCTGTTCAAAAAACCCACTGACTTCAGGATGATGAAACCGTAAGTGGTAAAATGCAAACTCATTTCTAGGTTTTGGACTACAATAATATTTTATTCATGCAGTGCTCCATTACAGCCAAATCAAATTGATTTTCCTCCATCTGTAATCAAATCAGCAGTAATAATAGTTGTATCAACAGTTAGTGCTGTTAGGTTAGAGCCTAGTCACAGATCGCCTTTTTAATAATTTAGTTGATTTTTCAGACTTCAAAATGTTAAACAAGAAAACACAACTTCAATATTTATTAGGTGAAAAACAAGATTGTATCTTATTAGCAGCAAGCAGATACATTGATGCCCGTCACAAAAAGAGGGAGGAGTCAACAAATCAGTGATGTGCCCACACACACACACACACACACATTGAATTATAAATCGTTAGTAGAATATCAAAATGTTCATTTGTTCTACTTTTTAAATGTATATACATGTTTTTGTTGCATATATATCTGTTCTAGATTCAATGTAAACACTCGCTTTAGGTGGTCTGTTAAAACTCAATGGGCTCAGGGGAGGTGAGAGAAACTGACTCCTGCTGCAATTTTACCTGCTGGTGTCGTGGTTGGACAAAGTTTATTTTAGAAAAATTAGTGATTTATACACTTTTTTTTTATGTTATATTTTGTAATATTGGCGTTGTTTTATTTTTGTACTACAATTTTGAGGAGACACTGCCTTCCTTGCCTACTCGGAGGAAATGCCCCTGTTCTCTAGTGACTCTTGAATAAGAGTCGGCAATGATGATATCTGTACAAATGTAATATTTACACATTTCATAAAATAATAGTCCATTTTTATATATCAACTTAAAAGCTTTTTAGCCTTCCTTAGAATAACAATTAACACTAAACCTGTTGTTCACATGAACAATGTGCAATAATTATGTAAAATCAGACAGATCCACATTAATAATGCATCTTGGAAACCAAATTAAACAGATTTGACCTATCTATCCATCAGGTGTGTATATTTTAATGAGGTGCTGCAGTCCTGAAGGGTAGCCAGTGAGGGGACACCTGTGATTGGCTTTAACGTACACATATATACACTTATAACAAAACACATAGCCTGAAGTGGCAAGCGCAGTGTCATTGCTGCGCACTTTCCTGCAGAGCGGGCAGACTTTGATGTGTGTGGGTGAAGTCTCCTGGCTGTGCAGGTGGAGAGGCGTTGGAGGGGTTGGAAGGGAGGTCAAGGATTTAACGGTGCTCTGGTTCTCGGATGAATACCACCACTCCAGGAACTGCAGGAAAAACACTCCAATCGAGAGGCTGGTTGAAAGAGACACAGCCAAACCGCCAACTGCCGTAGAGACCAGACGCTGAAATTTCTCTCCAAAGCTGAAAACACAAGAGATTTTAGCTTTACATCTTTATATTTTGGTAAACCTCAAGAAAATAATTTAGTATAGACTCTAAATAACGCACCTTTGACTGTGGCTCAGTGCCAGGCCTGATGGCTTGAGATCTAGGCTGTGTATGTCATTAGCTGTGCGATATGAGAGTTTAACCCCTGCCAGCCACAGAAGCGGAGAATGTGTCCGTGTTTTGCCAAAAACATACAAAAGCTGATGGCAAAAGACCCAGCCATCCCAGGCCATGCACACAAAGGGGTACGCAGCCAAAAAAGCCCTGTACAACTTCTGCATGACGGACTGCGGCAAGCGGATGGAGAAATCGTCCTCGTCTCTCTGTCGAGCAAGGACTTTTTCCAGTTTGGTGTGTAGGTAAGGAAGGAGGGCCAGTAGGAACAAAGAACGCCAGTGCTGTCTGCGCCGGAGTCCCAGATGAGCTGCACGTGTGCCGTCTTCTCCTACACGCTTCAGACCGTAGAAATTCTCCGAAAATGAGGCGCTGGTGTGGTAAAGGAAATGATGCTGCAATAACACATCCAGGATAGCATAAATCTCATCAAACCTCTGCCAAAGAAACCCATGGCGTGCGGGGTTAGACGTAGCAAGGATCTGTGGACAAAGGCAGGGTCTACACATCAGGAGTATTCAATGCCGGTAAATACTGTAAAGTTTATTTTATTACTAGTTTTATAACTATTTTTTAAATATATAAAACAATAGAAGTATGTTTGCATGCTAGGGGGTCCATGGAACAGTTTAGAGAAAAAAAGAAATAATAAAAATAAGATTAAAATAATTACAAATTATTTTAAAAAAACGAGATGAAGTAAATAAATACATAATGTCCAACAGTACAGGACTATATCAAGTAAAAAAATAATGTAAAATGTAATTTAATATAAACTAAATATTTTTCAAATTATATTTTAGACATCTATAATATGAATTTTTCACAAAATAAATTGTATCTTTATACAAGAAACTGTCTTTTACGTTTTATCATGTGGATCCGTCACATGACGAAGATCATATTCGGGGGTCTGTGGCATCAAAAAGTTTGAAATCCAAGGTCTATGCTTACAAATGTGTTTATTTTGTGTTTTTGAATACAGTTTTGAGTAAATAGCTTCAGGCAGTCCAATTCAGTCTGGTTTATTCTTCACACTGGTGATGAAAGGTCAAGTTGAACTCACTACATTGTGTAATTGTGCAAATACTGTGGGTCCTAAGTTATACCACGCATATGAGCCGAATTTGGCCACAGAACACCTGCTTAGAGTGCACTGCAAGTATTGTATTAAGCACACAGCCCAAGTTCTTGGGCTTCACTTCATTACAGCACGAGGCAAAGACATGTTTAGAGGCAAGATTAATCTAATACCATAATGTCATCTATTGTACATTGGTGGCAAATGCAGTAAATGCGTAAGCATACCTTCACAGCATGAAGTAATGCCGGTTTAACAGCACTCATCAAAGAGTCCTGAGCTAAAACCTCGAATATGGACGGTCTGTCTTCAGCTGGAGCCGCTGTTGTTAAATGAGCTCCTCGCTCTGCCATTACACGCATACACTGGGATCAATGTGATGTGAGCACGGCGAACCTGACAACTCAGACATCAACAAAGCGTTCTAAAAATGATAGAGTCTTTTAATAATAATATTTTCATAATGTTAAGACAATTTTGGCAGAAAATTACACTGCACAAAAAAAAACAATGCAAGATTCAAGGGTCACACAACTCACAACCTTTTCTGGCGTGATTCTTCTGTGTGCTCATTGGCAACAAAATAGGTTCATACTGCCATCTACTGTACTGGGGTAGTCTACAGTATAAAATATTCTATTCTGTTCTGTTCTATTGACCACTGTTTCTAATGGACGGACTCTAAAGATGTCAAGAAAACGACTTTTCACAATAAAAATGAAAAGCAATTACGTCAGACAGTAATGTCAAACTTTAAAATCAATTTATGTGCATTTCATGCATTTTTATTTTTACAGATAAAAGTATAGTACAGTTAATATTAATAATGTTACTGGGAAATACCAAATGCACAAGAAAATATGGGCTCTTTGAGCTATAATTTATATATGACTAAAGCTATAATATACATACATACATACACACACACACACACATATAGCATATATATACCTGCATATATATATATATATATGACTTGTTTTCATATTTATTTCATATATTTTGGTCCATAAACTCTTATTCTTGCAATGTTAATGCTCTTTTTTATGTTTATATTAGATGAAATAATAAATGCAATTAAAAAGGTTTAGATTTTTCAGCATTTAATTAAAGGTATCAGACAAATCTTGTATTTATGCTTTAAAATGTCTTCTTATATCTTGTTTTATACAAAATGTTCTTTGAAACGCTTATATCCATATATACTATTTTAGAAATGTAAAAATGTTTGTGCGTGATTCAAAGTATGGTTTAGTCTCAAGTTCACTTGGTTGAGTGTGACAAAAATTACATCATTGCTTGATTGCAATGGTACAAGTGCACATTGACTAAATGCCATTTCATGAGGAGGCATGACAGAAAGTTGTGGAAATAAGTTATCATATGCAAATGTATTTATACACTCCTAAAAGACGTATGGGCGTAAACTGTGGACATATTTACACATTTTGGTGTTTCTGCCATAGAAGTGAGAGTGATGGACCTATACAGTGCACTTTGTGTTGATGTCCTTTTAATAGCCTATAGCAGGGTTCCTCAAATCTTGCCCTGGAGGGCCAATGCGCTGCAGAGTTTAGCTCCAACACTGATCAAACTTACTTACCTGTGATTTTCTAATGAGTGTGAAGACATTGATTAGCATGCTCAGGTGTGTTTGATTAGGGTTAGAGCTAAACTCTGCAGGAAAGTGGATCTTGTGGGCCAGATTCGAGGATCACTGGCCTATAGTAATACAGCTGTCCCGATTTACAAACAGCACCAAAGACCCCAATATACTCACTGCTAAGTTCTTTGTTTTTTGTCCAGGGATAAAAAGAAACAGCTGCACACACTGTGATGCTACCAGTGCTACTGGGATTGGGGTTTAGATGAGTATGTAAATATGTGCTGCATGTTAATCTCTCAACAAACACACAACAGAAATGACAAAAGGTTAAGCATCTGATCATAGCAAGAGAAGTTGGTGGGCATGTGCATTGGATGAAACCCAATCCAAAGTGCACCTCACTAAAATTAAGTTGTTTATTTTTGATGCAAATAGAATTAACAAACGATACAAATGGACAAAAAGTTAGATAAAGAGTTTAATCAATGAGTAATTAAAACAAATACCAAAAAAAAAGAGAAAACAAGTAAAAGTAAAAACGAACAAATTTTATAGACTTAAAAGATTACCAAAACATCTCAAGACAAGAAGAGAAGCGGTCACAAGTTGCAAAGTTACTTGATAGTAGACCTTGCATTGGAAAATTGTAAATATATCATAAGTGGCAGAATAGCTACATGTTCCAAGTATGACAAACAAGTAAAAAAATACATATGCTAGCACTATAACATTTTGTAAACTACTTTTTTCTTTCATAAAAGAGAATAAATGAACTAAGAGTCACGCATGAGAAAATTATATGTGAAACTTAAGAAATAAAACTTATTTTGGTAGGAAATCCATCTTTGAGGTTATATGAAGCTCACACTTGAAACTGGTGAGCATGAAGATGAACATGGTTCACTGTGACACTGTGAATGATGTTGATCCTTATCCTTACACAAACTGTGGCTGGTTAGGACAGATTTATACAGAGGAGAGCTTAAATCTATTGCATAGATTTGTGTTTTTTGTTGTATGACTGCGTAGAGAAGCTAATTTATTAAAACTCTTCTCACTTGTTGGGCAGTGTTTACGGCTTCTCTCCAGTATGGATCCTCTCATGTGTTTTCATGTTTCCTAACAGAGAGAATCTCTTGTCACAGTGCGAACACTTGTAAGGTTTCTCCCCAGTGTGAACTAGCTGGTGCTGTTTCAGTTCAGAATTTGTAAAAAAGCACTTCCCACACTCAAAGCACATAAAAGACTTTACAGAGCTGTGTCTTTTCTGGTGCAGTTTAAAAACACTCAGCAGACTAAAACTCTTTTCACACAAAAGACACGAATAATTTCTGACTTTAGCATGAACTTTCTGGTGGCTCTTCAGGGCTGATTTCAGAATAAAACCTTTGCCACACTGATCACAGTAAAACGGTTTGTTTTCAGAGTGGGTATGTAGATGTATTTTTAGAGTGGAACTGTGTGTGAAACTCATACCACATTCATCACACGTGTGTGGCTTTTCTCCAGTGTGGATTTTCATGTGTACCGTAAGGTGTGATCTTTGTGTGAAACTCGTCCCGCATTGATCACATGTGTGCGGCTTCTCTCCGGTGTGAATTTTCATGTGTTCCTTTAGGGATCGTTTGAGTGCAAAACTCTTCCCGCACTGATCACATGCGTGTGGCTTCTCTCCAGTGTGGATAGTCATGTGTACCGTAAGGCCTATTTTGCTTGAAAAACCCTTCCCACACTGATCACATGTGTGCGGCTTTTCTTCAGTGTGAACCAACATGTGGCTTTTAACGGACTGCTTTAGTGCGAAACTCTTCCCGCACTGCTCACAAGTATACGGCTTCTCTCCAGTGTGGATGATCATGTGTCTTTGAAGGTGTTCTTTGCGCGTGAAACCCTTCCCGCATTTATCACATGTGTGCGGCCTGTATTCAGTGTGGATTGTCATGTGTTGCCTAAGTTGTAATTTGCATCTGAATCTCTCCCCACACTGATCACATGCATGCAGCTTCACTCCTTTGTGGATTTTCATGTGTGATAAAAGGCTTCTTTTGACGTTAAAACTCTTCCCACATTGATCACATGTGTACGACGTCTCTCCAGTGTGGATTTTCATGTGTCTCAGAGCGCTGTCTTTTCGTGGGAAACTCTTCCCACACTTATCACATGTGTACGGCTTCTCTCCGGTGTGGATTTTCATGTGTTTCTTAAGGTCTTCTTTGCACGTGAAACTCTTCCCGCACTGATCACATGTGTGCGGCTTCTCTCCAGTGTGGGTTTTCATGTGTTTCTTAAGGTCTTCTTTGCACGTGAAACTCTTCTCACACTGATCACATGTGTGCGGCTTCTCTCCAGTGTGGGTTTTCATGTGTTTCTTAAGGTCTTCTTTGCACGTGAAACTCTTCCCGCACTGATCACATGTGTGCGGCTTCTCTCCAGTGTGGGTTTTCATGTGTTTCTTAAGGTCTTCTTTGCACGTGAAACTCTTGTCGCACTGATCACATGTGTGCAGTTTATCTTCAGCGTGGATCCCCGCCTGCAGCCTAATGGCTTTTTTATGTTTCTGCTTGTCTCTAGTATGAATTCTTGTGTGAAGAGAGCTGGCGACAGACTTTTTGGCTACTTTTTTTCCTTTCTTGTTCGCATCCATCAGGTCTAAAATAAACATATTATATCATTATAAATCAAAAGAGAGGCAAATGTCAAATTAAAACACCAAATTTGATAAACTTTCAACACAAAGATCTTATCTTAATACCATCAAACCTGGATCGTTTGATGTGCAATGACTGCACAAATATGAGCATTTTTATGAGCATGATTTCTAATGTTAAAAACAATAATTCTGGGACCGATTACAGCTGCCTTGTAATGCCTCTAATTCTTTTCTACATTACTTTAAGTATAAGAATGAGTAAATGTTAAACTGAACATTCTTTTGAAGGCCCTTTCACAAAAAAAAAAAAAAAAGGGAGAGAAGTTGCAGAAAGATTAAAAAAAATTGACTTCACTTTGTGATTTATAGGATATGGATTTAAAAAAAATTTTTTATTCATTTTTAACTGAGAAATATGGCAATTTCTCCACATTTTCTACTTAATGAGAGTTTAAAAAAGGATGGAGAAAAAAGAAAAACACAATTTTATGCCAGTTTTCATCTTGATTTTTAGTTGTTTTATCTTATTTTAAAGCATTTTATATCATCTTAAGGACCCCTGGAAGTTTGCTGAGGCCCCCTAGTGGGCCCCTGGTTGAGAACCACTGCCCTGGAGTGATTCTCCAAGGTTAGAAAACACACAGCCAATACAATTGGCTGAACTGTCCTGAAATATATATTTTTATCATTATTTGACCATATGAAACACCATTTATGAGACAGCAGCTCATAACTTATTTTATAGCTTATTTGAAATATGTTATTGAAATGTGAGTTTGGCAAGCAGTTTTTTATAATTGTTATTTCCCCATTCAAACAGATACAAGTTGGTCTTGCATGACTGAAATAGCTTTATGCAAACAACTCGCACTGACGTACTTCAACGCATTCATGAAATGCAAATGTTTTATTTAAAGTTTTGGGTTTCTGCTCATATGTGTGGAGTACAAAGGCAACAGCAACTTCAAGTCTTTAATGCTGAATTCAGTGCACTAACACCACCAGAAACTGCAGCAGTGCTGGACATATGACACAAAAATGATAACTTACTGGAGTGGACACACTGAATAAAAACAGGGTCGCTTCAAGAAAATACTTGTGCCTGGTATGAATGGCTTTATAGGAATGAATACACTGGTTCAGTTCGTGTTTTGTGTGAAAGGGCCTTTTATTCCATCATCTTAAGGCCAATTTGGAAGTTTCCTGAGGCTCCCTAGTGGGCCCCCGGTTGAGAACCACTGCCCTACAGTGATTCTCCATGGTTAGAGAAAACACACACACAATGAGAGATTGTGAAAATTCTGGGACAGATTACAGCTGCCTTGTAATGTCTCTAATTATTTTCTACATTACTTTTAGTATAAGAATGAGTAAATGTTAAACTGAACATTCTTTTGAAGCAATTTAATTACTGGCAGAGAGACGAGGACAAATTTTAATGGATGTTAATGGAAGAGAGGTTTCAGGATACTAAATACCCTGCTCTTATGAGAAAACTTATTTTTATTTAATGAATTGATATGCTGTTCTCTAATCTTCAGTGTCTTTACTATCAAATAATTATCTTGCAGTGAGCTACAGTTGGAGTTTACAACAACAACAAAATATGCTGTTTTATTAAAGTCACAAAAACTTTGCAACAGGTAAAGACTGCATTTATCAAGATAGTTCACTGGTTCAGATCGTGTTTTGTGGAAAAAAAGGCTTTCAGAATCAACAATTGCCATGCAAATATGCACTATTTGGGGCTTTTTCTGTTGCCAAAATGTATATGAAATTTCGACCACTAAATCTAGTAAGTTTCCTGAAGCTGATATCATGGTCTTCGGCAGCATTAATGAAGAATCAAGAACAGACACAAACCTCTTTGTTCTTCAGGATCATGCTGTTTCACTCTGCAGGGTTTTGGATTCCTCATGTTCTCATTGTCCTCTCCCTTCAAGTGTGAATTGTGATTGTTGTGTGGTAGTTCTGCTAAAAAAATTAAATTAAATTTCCAAATAGAAATAATAGCGTGGTCTTGAGTTAGTTCAGTCGACTCAGAGTTTATGCTGATCTACGGACATTTGTATGATTCTCAACAGAACGCTGAATCCAAGAGTCACCACAGAAGCACGCAATAGCCTACTTTAATTTATATTTGGCAATTATTATTTAAGCAATTTTATTACTTCATACTGTTTTTGATAGCTGTGAACAAGATTTGTTTAAAACAAGATATTGTGTTGTTTGTTTAGCCTAACGCTAAATAAATAAAAAAGAAAGCTTAATCCAATTTTTTTTAAAGTAGTGAAGGAAATTAAGACTAGCTAACATGCTCCGGAGTTGCACTAAGCAGGCTTTCCTTTCACAAGAAGGTAAAATTAAGTAACTTACATTTTAGACACAGTATTGTCCGATTTTGCTCTATAGTCGACGAAAATAGGCTAGTTTCAAACAAATTCCCAGCAGAGCCGTTGCACCTCTTCGCAACACACAGTGATTAGTTCCCAAATGAGCCCATCTTCTGAATGAATCGGCTGAGCGAATGCTTCAATGACCCCTTCATATGTTACTTCTCAAACTGAATGTTGCATCCTAGACCAGTCCTTATAAATCTAGGCTGGCCAACCCCCCACCACCCACCCTCTTTGAGTTCAAACCACTGAAAATACCCCTGTTTTAGCACTGGTCGTTCACACCTCAGATTTGAAGAAGTCTCGAGAAATGGGTGTAAAGCAGTGGAAAAGGGAGAGTGTCGAGCAGGCGTATTCAAATGGCGGACCGCTTGGGACACGCCTCAAGCGCTCAGGGTCGTTTACTGTAATGATCTTTCGGCGTTATATCCTCTAATATGTTTATTTAGAGCCAAATGTGCTTCATGCAAGTCCTTCCCGTGAGCGTTTCTCTATAAAGATGCGAGCGGCACTGATACTTTCGCAGAAAACAACAATGCTGCAGATATAGTTATTTTTACTTGTATATGACTCTGACCGTGTAAACCATGTTTGCGACAACATTTCTTTCCATCTACGCTTTTAATCAGCATGTTAAGACACTGTCTACTTAAATCAGACTCAATGTTTTTTTTATAGGCTACCATATAATATTTTTTTAAAAGGTTGGAGGTTTACGCTTTTTGTTAATGTGTGACTAGCAGACTGCCTGTGGCATTATCTAATTTCTATCAACAAGCTCTCAAGGCCTGGAAGCTGTTATGTGCATAACTTTTCTCCACATAAAGCAATCTTGTGGAATAATGTTTATATTACAGTTAACCGGAAATCTCTTTATTTACAGAGTTGGATGGATAAAGGAATTTTTTTTTTATCTGACCTTTTTGATCAGTCAGCTGAGTTGCTTTCTTATGAAAATTTTATGAATATCCATTTCCTATTAAATATAGAGAATATTATTCTGTGATAAACGCCATTCCCACAGGTTTATTGATGTTAATGAGAAGCCATATGTTGTCCCTTAACATTTGTAGAATTGAACTCGTTCTTAATTTAAATGGGGTGGACATTAACAGTAAAAAAATGCACAAATAAATTTATTAGAAATCTATTTTATGAAAAGAGATCTATTAAGCCTAGAGGGAAATTTTTCTGGAACATTTGTTTTCCAAAGATTATTTGGAAAAAAGCTTGGCTTCTTCCCTTTCGGTTTTGTATATCTAACAAACTTCGGGAAATACATCTGAAAGTACTTCATAATATTTATGTTAGTAACTATACTTTATCAAAATGTATGGATATTGATGAAAACATTTCATTTTGTTCAGATCAGCCAGAAATAATTCTACATCTTTTTTTTTTTATGTTACCATTCCAAAAAAATCTGGGAAGATTTATCTATATATATTCAACAGAAATCTGGTTATAATTGTGAATTAACATCCAAAGATGTTATCTTATATTTTGAATCAAAAAATGCATCTGTCAATTTTATGATGAATCTAATGATTTTATTTGGTAAATTTCATATTCATAAAAGTAAAAGAAATAGTTCTAAACCCTGTTTGAAGGTCTTTATGACTGATTTTCATTTGTATTTTGAGTCTCTCCAATGTATTGATTACAAAAAATGTAGAGATACAATTTTATTCGCTAAAGAGTTGAAGTTCTTTAAGTATTATTATTGATTTTTATTTATTGTTTTTTCTTTTTTTCTATGTAATGTAAACCCATTCCTTTAATTGTGTTATCTTTTTGGATGTCTTGTTAAAGTTGTAAATGTTGCATGTTATGTCTTTAATGTCTAATACAAATTTTTTTTTTTACAACGTCACTGTGTGGGAAGATTTGCATAATGCCGCCCAAATGTTCACGCAAAGAAAGAAGGCATAACTTTTATTCTCGCTGTAGCATTGTTGTTGCCACCGCAGCCATTTTGTGGAGATGCTGTGTGTTTCGTTGAGAACGCGACACTACTTTCTTTGGCCTTCCAAAAGAGGACGATATCCACTTTGTCATGCCTAGAGCTGATCCGTGCTGGTCACTGAGGAAATACATCAACACTTGAGGTATTCAGCCAATCACAACGCAATGGATAGCTGGCCAATCTTTTGGATGTCTTGTTAATGTTATAAATGTTGCATGTTATGTCTTTAATGTCTAATAAAATAAAAAATAAAAAAACAAACAAAAAAAATCTGCATGTTAAGAGCATTTTAAAACAAACATAATTTTTATAATTGGAAAATGTATTTGTAGGCTTGATGGCAAGGAAGAAACCCTAAATTTTGAAACTACAGGTGCATCTCAATAAATTAGAATGTCGTGGAAAAGTTCATTTATTTCAGTAATTCAACTCAAATTGTGAAACTCGTGTATTAAATAAATTAAATGCACACAGACTGAAGTAGTTTAAGTCTTTGGTTCTTTTAATTGTGATGATTTTGGCTCACATTTAACAAAAACCCACCAATTCACTATCTCAACAGGTCGGGTGCTGGCGAAAAAGATGTGTCTTTAGATGTTTTTTTTAAATGGCTAAAGACTCAGCTGTTCGAATTGAGATCGGGAGGTCATTCCACCAGCTGGGGACAATCCAGGAAAAGGTCCATGAGAGTGATTTTGTTCCTCTTTGGGATGGCACCACAAGGCGCCGTTCACTTGCAGAACGCAAGCTTCTGGAAGGTGCAAAAGTTTGAACTAGTGAGTTTAGGTATATTGGTGCAGCGCCAGTGGTGGTCTTGTAGGCAAGCATCAGTACCTTGAATTTGATGCGAGCGGCTACTGGTAGCCAGTGTAACCTGATGAGGAGAGGAGTAACGTGAGCTTTTTTTGGCTCATTGAAGACCACTCTCGCTGCTGCATTCTGGATCAGTTGCAGAGGCTTGATCGTGCATGCGGGAAGGTCCACCAAGAGAGCATTACAATAGTCCAGTCTTGGACAAGAAGTTGTGTGGCTTGCTCTGACAGGAAGGGTCTAATCTTCCTAATGTTGTATAAGGCAAATCTGCAGGACCGGGCCGTTGTAGCACAGAACTGTGGTCTGTGAAGCTTAACTGATCATCGATCACAACTCCTAGGTTTCTGGCTGTCCTGGAAGGAGTTATGGTTGATAAACCCAGCTGTATAGAGCAGCTGTGATGGGTTTGCTGGCACCACAAGCAGTTCTGTCTTAGTAAGGTTGAGTTGAAGGTGATGGTCCTTCATCCAGCAAGAAACATCTCTCAGACAGGCTGCGATGCGAGCAGCTACCGTCGGATCATCTGGTTGGAATGAGAAGTAGATTTAAGTGTCATCAGCATAGCAGTGATAAGAAAAGCCATGCTTCTGAATGACAGATCCTAATGATGACATGTAGATGGAGAAGAGAAGTGGTCCAAGCACTGAGCCTTGAGGAACCCCAGTAGCAAGAAGTTGTGACTTAGAAACCTCACCTCTCACCAAAAAATTACATTTACTGTAAATGTAAAATAATTACAGTTGCATGGTGTTAAAAGGTGTTTTTATTTAATAACTTTAAATAAAATGGCATCACAGTTTTAGTGCTATCATTAGAACATCACACAAAATCTCACTCTTAAAAAAAACTTTTACAGCCTCCAAAACCCCCTTTTTTGACTCCATACATTCACAGATGGCCAGTTATTCAGACAGCAATCAGCATCAAAATCATTCTTTTGTCTCTATACATACACAAATTGCTGCACTGATGACCGACCATTTAGACAGCAATCAGCCTCCAAAAAACATATTTTCCTTTGATGTCCGGCCATACAGAGAAAAGCATTTAAAAAAAACTATTACAATATTGTTTTTATTACAAATAAGCTGATTATATATTTTCTAAAGATATTTAAAACGACATTTTATAACAGTGTGTGTGTGTATATATATATATATATATATATGAAACATTTTACAATTAAATATTTTTCTATTTGAGTCAAATATTGTATGACTTGTCTAGGTGGTCATATTGTATGCTGTTTATTCCTTTTACGGTTTAGATCAGTATTATTTTACAGTATATGCATGAAGCCAAATGAAGGAGCAAAATAAACCAGTGAAAGTTTTTATAAAGCCAGTTTCGTCTGAAAAGAGTGTTTTCTCACCATATGAGGTCTTTAACTCTTATTTTTCTGTAAAGCTGTTAATTTACGGACTCAAGGACGGGTTAACAGACAAAGACTGTACTGTGAAATAGTCCACACTGAATAGTCCATTTAAATGTAGTATTACCTGTTTAAATTGTCAGTTTTTAAACGTATCCAATGGAATGTACCAAGTGAACCATTACAGAACAGTAAGAAAAATATATAATGAAACGTTACAATGCGCCTGTGCTGTTATGCAATACTTCTACAATACAAGCAAACTGTATAGACTGCCTAACACCACACGATGTGGTGCTGGCAGTGTTAAAAAAAGTGTAACAAAAACAGAAATTAACCAAGAGAAAAAGGGGCGGGGCCAAAATCCTCTGCATCCGGTGTAACATCTGTGTGGCTCCGATCTCACGCGTTCTCCTCGTTTGTTGGATCCGCGCTTCATTTTGTTTTTCCGGGTGCGCTCCATCTTCCAGCGCCGACCAAGCAGAGACAGCAACCGCATCTTTCATCTGCTCCATCTACTCTTCCAAGTGCTCCAGTACCTAATAGTTTTGTATATCGCGTCGATTCTCACATTCCTTGTGCGTATCTTATTTTTGTGTTTTCATCAATTGTTTGCATTATAATTTAGACAGGACAGATGTCTGTATTTCAGTCGATAGAGGTCTTGCTTCCAAGGTTTTCACTAGCCTAGCATAGCGGGATCATTTTTGGGTCACGCCCAATTCATAAATTAACAGTCATTAATTGGACTGAAGTACACCTCCAAATATTAAGTGTGACATATATTTTTAGTTTATGTAATCCTTTGTAATGCAAGGCTGTGTTGCCGGTTGTTCGTGTATATGATTATATATTTTCTAAAGATATTTAAAACGACATTTTATAACTGTGTGTGTGTGTGTGTGTGTGTGTGTGTGTGTGTGTGTGTGTGTGTGTGTGTGTGTGTGTGTGTGTAAGACTT